GAGTCCAACCGACGTTGGCAATGTTAACACAATAGTCATCAATATCTGGGTGCATCGAAAAATAATGGTTGCTTTCCAGGAAGATGGTAAGAAAGCTTCATCACAGGTGTAGTCCTAAACTGGATGGGAAATTTGAATATCCTCCAAACAGCTTCAGAAGCTGAAACATACCTATTTATTAAGGGAAAAAATGTAAATTATTGCAACCTGAAAATATAAAACTGATATAGTAGATATATTCACTAAGGAATATTATATCATACCTGCAATCGAAGTAATCTTTGATTTCATCTTTACTTTTTTCTTTACTGCCAGTTGCTGATCCAGTCTCCGTATCAGTATTCTTGTCATTAGGTTCAACAACGATAGCTACACGATCTTGTCCTTTGTTAATATACTTAAATAAGTATTTGATAGAACCGGATTGGTTACACCACTCAACGTTGATGTGAGCTCTATAACGCAATGATAAAAGGCGATTATACGGAACAACATAACTGTTGTCACACTTAATACCACCTTTTTCAACAAAGTGCTGAGATTCCCGCCTTCTATATATTGGGTATCCGTCTTTACCAACTGTTGTTTGCTCAACCAATTTCTTAGGAAAAAACTTAGAACACTTGCCATCAACCATGCATGGTGAATCTTTGTTGGCCGCACCACATGGACCATGTATCATACACTCCTTTACAACCTCATATAACTTAGGATCCTTAGCTTTATCTGGAATCTCAGCAGAGATGATATTGTCAATATCATCAGATGTTGGAAATTTGCAACTTTTATCCATGAATAAGAGTATATGAGCATGTGGTAGTCCTCTTTTCTGAAACTCCACTGTGTACATAGCTGCAAATAGCAATAACCATTTTAAACTCATATTCGTACAGTAACAGGCAATAAAATAAACAAACATAAAACATATCTGTAAAAACAAAACAATTCATTACCAGAGACAGTTTTTCCTAGAAGATGGTCTTCTGTTAAATCTTTCATAAGAGAGTCAAGCTTCATCTTGAATATCCGACACACAACATCTGGTCTATCATCCGCATTAAGTTTACGCTCTTTACAATATCTAGTTATTTCTGGCCACTTGGGGTTACATGTAAATGTTATAAACAGGTCTGGGAAACCATACATTTTACACGTAGCCATAGCATCATAATAACTGTTCAACATATAGCGAGGTCCACCAGTAAAAGAAGATGGAATACGTATTGATTTACCTTGTTCACCCATGTTGGTGTTTCCAGCTTCTGAGGCAGCCTTAAGAGTAGAATAATTCTCACATCTCAGATTAGACTGGTTAAACTTAATATAGGACAGCCTGTTGGATTCCAGTGTTGTGTATCCATCTACCAAGAACTGTTGGAACAAACGCTTTGAACGTAGTAGTGTCTGTGCTTCATCAAATCTCTCTTGTATTCTGAAAGCATACCATTAGACAACTTATTTTAATATATTGAACTAATATAGACATGTCAAAGAATTCTTACTTTGACATCAGACAGAACCATGTCGAAAGTCTCACCAAACTTTGTGGTAAATGTCTTCCAGGTATGAAGGACACGGACCTGAACTCTCCAAGTGGTTTTGTATGGTTTGATGTCATCGAGGTAAGCAATTGCTTGAGCCATTTGTGATATCTAAATAAGAAGGATGCTAAGGTTAGAGGAATTTGAGTGATGGATTGGAAATGAGAATGACGTTGATATTTATAGCATTCTAGGATGCTAGGGTTTTTGGCTCCAATAATTTTAAAATCTAGGAGAATATCTTGGAGACAAAGCATAAAATCAAAGATACTATTAACAAAATATATTCGAATTTGGAATAGAATTGAATGATTGGCTATATTTAGATAAATGATGAATATTGTAGAGTTGGTTATGGTTAGGATTATATTTATGAGAGATAGTAATTACGATTTTTTTGGGATTAGGCAATATATGATCGAATTTGTAGTTATTATGAGAGATAATTACATTGAATTTGCAGTTATTATGATCGAATATGCTCATATTTAGATACCAAAAATGAACTAAATTTACAAAATAATTTGAACGGCTTAGATTGACTTATGTGGATGCTAAACCCGATTAAGAACTTGACTATGTGATTAAGAGTTAATTACTCCTAACCCACCCGAGTATTAACACGCGGATCTCTTAAAGTTTAATGAAACTTTATGACCAAAATGCCCTTGTCGATTTTGATTAACAAAGAACAAAATCCAAAATTGAAATTGAAATTGAGGCTAAATTTGACCATTTTTCAATTTGTACTTCCCTTTTAATAATAAGGGGATAGAAGTTTTCTAATAGTAGTAGTTGAGAATAATCAATTGATTTTTTCTTCTTGTTAATAAAAAATTTGATTTAATAGAAAATGTTTTTTTTTTTTTTAACATATCTAGAGGAAATCGAACAGGGAAAAAAAAACAAGATCGCGTGAGATGCATCCATAGATGGAAAATAATAATTTGCATGAAAGATGATTATGAGTAACAAAACTTACCAAAAACTGAATCGTTAAGGAATGAGATTGATTATTGAATTTTGAGGTACTATGTACTTGCAACCAAATAAGATGATCTTACGACTAGTTATCAAAACTATTGAAAGAAATGTCATATAGTAGTTGATTTAGTACTAGAAGATGTGAAAATCAGACGGCCGTGAGATGAAAGCCGGCGAATGGAAAAGATGAGGAGGACTTGTCAAAAGTGGTCATCGTTCCATCAACTCCGATGTGGCTCAAGTGCTTCACCTCCGTCGGATATCCTATCTCAATCTCCGCCTCTCTCTCTTTCGTTTCCTCTTCGTAACCTGGTCATTGTATTTAATTTGTGTCATATCAACAATACATAAATGATGAATCTATTACTAATTTGAGCGTGTTTCTCTAATTACACTAACAAATTTTTAGCGCTTTTACTTAACAGGAATCACACACAGAAGTTTATATGGTAATGTAAAACTACCATGCAAACACATAAATTCTATGTAGAATTGAGATAATAAAAATATATTACACCAACTCATAGGTGAAATGGTTTACAATTTTTAAAAGTGTATTAGTAATGAAGAGATGCTATCTAGACAAATTAAATGATCAAAAAGGCTATTCAGTTAATTGTCCCTATATTAAATTGGAGGAACATTGAGAATCCAAAAAAAGATAAATAAACAATTACTTACTATTACCAAATGTTGTGTTCCCAATTCGAAAAAAAAAAGGATTAGAATAAGGGACATACGAATGAAAAAGTGAGAGAAACTCTTGAAGCTTCGTATAATTCTGTAGATACCATCTGAGATATTAGCACCATTGTTGTTGTTGTTGTTGTCCATCTTTGTGTAGTCTTTTTTATATGAGCCATTTTCATCACTTTCTACTCTTCCTTATAAAACCAAAAAGGAAAAAAGATCACTCAGAAAAAAAAGGAGAGAATAGAAACGGCACATACGATGAAAATGCGAGAGAAACACTTGAAGCTTCGAATAACATTGTAGATACCATCTGAGATATTTGCACTGCTATTGTCCATCTTTGTGTATTCTTTTTTAAATGAGCCATTCTCATCACCTTCCTCTCTTCCTTAGAAAACCAAAAAGGGGAAAAAGATAGTTCACCAAAAAATGCACGATAGAAGAAGCAAGGATAAAGAAAAAAAGGAGGAAGTGTGATAAGAAGGTACTCTTGATGAGTTGGTTTGGTTTCTTGTGTTGATGAGTAGTGACCACAGCGACGCAAGATTGCGTAGAACACCCTAACGAAAACGGCAATATCAAAAATCGCTCCATCCGATCTTTCATCTCTATCCCCCAAAATGTATGTATTTATGTATGAATGCTACAAATATGTTATGCGTGTGTGAGTGAGTGAAATGATGGAAAAGTAACGATTTTGGTAGGGTTTATATTGCAATTTAGTGTATGTTTATAACTTTGTAAGCAAGTTAGTATCATTATCTCCTTGAAGAATTTTGTAATTCCTAACCCAATAAAGGAATAGACAGAGGGAGAGAGAGATTATGAGTGTCATTATTGAGTATACTTCGGGTTGCTTTAAGTTGGCCAACAGTGCCACTTAACCTAATTTCAAGACTAAAATATTCAAGATAACCCCCACACCTTCCACTTTTTTTTCTCATTACCCAATAATCTACATCTTTGTATTTTAATCAATACCATAATTAGACTAATAAGTAGCTCTGTGAGCCACCCTCCCACGACACTGAGAGAGACATAGTTACATCTACAGTACTCGATTTAAAACAACTTTTCTTCTTTTGTGAAATACACTCTTAGTTTAACCTTTTCAATCCGCAAAACCCAAGAACCGAGCTGACCAAGCCCACAAAAGCGGCAAAACTATAACAAACATGGCTAGATCAAACAATGCAACCATAAGCGTTATAACCTCGTAATGCTTCTAATCAGATTATAATATATTGATAGTCTGGTACTTCAATGTTTCTATATCTAAAGAAAAAAAAATGTTTCTATATCTAAACAAAGATTAGATTACAGTCCAAGAGTTCATCACTCATTAAGCTTATCTTTTTTTTGACTCTGGCCCCTCACTTGTAAAAGAAGCCACAACTCTCTGGGCATTAATCTTAGAACCAACTCCAACTCTACTTCAGAGAGATACGAAGGAATTTTCCCATCCCACCTAAAACAAATATTATGTTTCTAAGCTTTATCTAACTATTTCTATGCATATAAGCCATTTTTAATATAATCGACTAATTCCCCCAGATGCACAAGACACTGTCTAAGAACTGTCTAACAGAAGTTGGTGTAGATAAGTAAAAATAATAAATAATGGTGGCCTTACACTGCATAATTTACATAGTCGCAATGGGTGAGATAAAAGGAAAAGACCCGTGATTCTACACACTTCAAACCTACAAGAAGTATTTCATTCTTTCGTCTCTCCTCATTGCATTATACACAGCTTGAACCTGTCAAACCAAACAACACAAGTTCTCATCACTTCAGTCTGCAACTCCTAACTTTCAGACATCCTCTCTACAAATAAGGTTTGATTCTCTATGCTTCTTGTGCCTAAAAACCCATATTGCTTTTCATATGTGTATATGAGTGTGTGTGGGAGAGGGGGAGGGAAAGGGAAAAACCTGTTCGCTAGAGATAACTCGGATAGGGCCAATGTTCACCGACACATATTTTCCTTTGCTTGATAACGTCTGCTTTACACAATCCTTTAATGGGGGAAAATTTTTTGTAACATTAGTAGGATTCTCGTGTTCTCCGTATTAGAATATTGCTTTTTCGACATTACATAAAAAGATACTCTGATCTGATTCTTTGATGAAATAAATAGTTCACATCCAAACATAACAATATGACAGAGTAAACATTTAGCAGCTATACTGCGCAAGACCAAGCAAAGACCAAAACAAGAGAACAAAAGTAAGCAAAGCAAAGTAGGGTGCATACAGTTTCTCTTGTTTGTAATTATCAAGCCAGTGTCCAAAATATTGTACAGAAGACACTAGCAAATATCTTATAATAAAAGATAGTATAAGCCTGCAAATCAAGATACTTTAAAGAGGAAAAAAGATTACCTCTGGAATATGTCGTTCAATAACGGATTCAACTGCAACAACCATAGCATGCACAAAGTCATCGCCACCAGTCCCAATTGCAGTAAACCCTCTTTCTGTTGGGTATGTATTGACCTGGCAATTAAAACGCCAGCTTTGAGTAAGCCAATATCCATTTCCTTCTTAAATTTTACTTAATGAATGCATTCAAAATCTACAGGGGCTTTATAAACACTAGCATATAGGACTTGAACGCGAAAGGAAGAGCAACTCTACTGGAAACCGACCAAACAAGAAAAAGATATCGGCATGGGATACCTTTTGGTCAAGTTCGAGCCAATCTTTAGCAGAATCATCAGCCACGGTGCCACCAATAATCATATTAGTAGTTTTCCCAACCCTCCCATCAGTCTTTGACACTTCTGCATCCCATCAGCAAAAAGGATGAAACAACAGGGGAAACAAAAGTATCAATAAATTAGTACTCGTGACTTAACACCATCTGTTTCTTTCACCATTCAAGCTTGATTCTTAACCCAAAACAATCTAAATTCCTAGTGAATGAATCACCACAAGTGTAGGATTAGTTAAATTGATTCGAAGGAGCAGTTTTTGAGTCCCCAGCAAATAGCCGCCGGCAAACACTAGTACGTCAATCGACTGTTTCCTATTCATCAAAGATCCAAGCATATCGCATCCGATAATCGAATCCATTTCCGCCAAAACGAACAAAATCACTCAAATGTGTTACTAGGAAGACATTAACGAAGGCGCGCACCTGAAATTGCCTTGAGAACAGCTTCTTGGGGAGGGCCTTGATCAGATTGATCGTTATGGCTGCAATAAAGCCGAGTGACCCGCTCGGGAACAGATGCAAAACCACTGAAACAGAGACTCTTTGGCGCCGGGAACAAACCATGGACCGGAACTGATACTGGAGAAGGAGGGAGAAAGAAGCATCTACTTGCGCTGGAAGTTCGACGTGATTCCGATACGAAAACGGAACGCAAAATCGTTTTGCAAGCCATTTTTTCAAGCTTCTCTCTTTGGAGATGTGTCGAATACTAGTCTTAACGCTGCGTTTGGTTATTTATAAAATTTTCTGGCGTTGGCGAGGGATAAGGATTAAGGACCCTTATGCCCTTAGGTTTTTTTATCTTCTGTGATCATTCATTCATACATGTGCAAAGCGTTTTAATCAGGACCAAACCCCTAAGTTACCCATGATCTATTCTAGGCAAAGACAGATCATGTACAAGTGCTATATCTACCATTAAGAGGTCATAGCCACAGCCTAAACTCGACTTTTCTTCGCTTGACATTTGCTTTTGCTGTGTTTTTGTTAGCAAGCGTATCTAATCATTTTAAGACTTTGAATCACACACGAAATCATCCTAAAGGGTGTTTAGTTAAGAGTATGTTATTATTAAAGTACATAACAAATACATATTTTACTTCTTTTTAGTTGAGAACACATAATTGCAACGGGAAATTTTCTCCTAACTTCTTAGAGCTTCACTTCTCATAGGAAGGTTATTCTTACAGGAAGTTTCAGTATCTTTCTGTAAATAAGAAACTCATAGAGATCGTGCTACAAACAAAACCATAACAGCATAAGCTTAGATAATGGCAAAAGGACTTCTCTTCCAACAAAGATAAGAAGAAATCGAAAACAATGTGAAGAGACAATACATCCTAATAATAAAAGTAAAGAAATCAATTTGTTGGTACCATAGCCACAAACGGTTACTTTTCAACTTAGTACAGCTCTGCTCAGGAAATGTAAATAGGTGGTTGTGTGCAGGCATTCTTTCTTATGGAAATTATGCCCATCACTACTATGGCTTTAGGCTTCATCTAGCAGGAGGTGGAGGGCCAAGGGATTTTGCCATGCCAATCCAAGCAACAATACCACACGCAAGAATTATCCAACCACATACATCATAAGTGAAGTCATTGTTCTTCCTCTTCTTCTTACCACTCTGCAAAAGTAAGGCAATTTCTCAGAGCAAAACGGAAAAACATAACCCACATATGAGATTCTTTCACTCTCTGCTTATGTTCTCATGAACTTGCTACTAGAGAATAACTGTGTGAAAGAAGATGACACTTTTCAAAACATTGGGCAGCACACTAGCCAACAAAACACATGATAACTTACGCTAACATTCGCTGAAGCGGAAGGACCTCCTCCTCCACCAAGTATTTGCTGTCCCATTCCATGCTTATGTATCTCCATATGCAGTTCTGGGGCCTATTACACATAGACAGACAAAAACATGAGCTCTAAAATAAAAGAAATAGAGCCGAAGATTGTATCAAATGTCAAATAATTCCCTCCTTGTTTTTTTATAGCATCAGTTGTTCTCTCCATGATTAATGTTATAAATTGTGTACACAAAGATAAACTCTGAAAAAAATAAAAGTTGAAAGAGTACCTTTGTTGTGACCTCCAAGGACTTGAGATATACCTCATTGCCTGGATCCTAAAAAAAAAAAGAAGAAGAAGAAGTTGGTCTCACTACACTTAACAACATATATTTTCCAAATTCAAAAGCATAAAAATTCTGAAGATGAACCTCATTTTCAGCTCTTTGGAAATATTCAGCGGCTTTATCAAAGTGCCCTCTTGCTTCATCAACATCTGGAACAAGAAATGCATGGGAAGTGTAGGCGTTCCCAAGACACCAAAGAGCCTGATGCTTCCCTGGATTTAATGTCAACGCCTCTTCCAACTTGGAAATAGCATCTACATGATCAATAACTTGTTAAATTTAGATCAAAGAGAGAAGTCAAAAGGATGATTATTTATTTAAGACTTTAAGAAGAAACTCATACCATTTAACATCACCTTTGCATCAGGAATGTTCTGGAATTGAGAAAGTTCAAGCAATGCTCCACCCCATTTAACCAGATTCTGCAGAAAATTCAAAGGTGTTCTTAATATAAACCACAAACCAAAAGGAATTCAGAGAAACATATGTCAATCTCATAGCCCAAATTCTAATATTTCCATCGAATTCAAGACCTAAACCACACACAGTGATTAGTATCAACACAGAGTAAACATCACACAGGAAAAACAAATGAAAACATCCTTAAACATTTAATGTCCGATCATATAATCGAAATCAACAACAACAACAAAAAGGAGAAGCAATTCGGCGATTTCTAATGAGAGAGGAAACAAGTAGTAGAAAGAAACCTCGGAATCAAGAGGATCGTTAAGGTACTGAGCCTCAGAAGCTTTGCGAGCATGGTCAAACATGAGAAGCCTTTCAAAGTCGGCGGTAGAGAACTCCATCTTCAGATTCAGGTGAAAGAAAATCTAGGGTTCGGTGGTTCTGTTACTGTGGAAAGTCGATGAGCTCTCGATACGAAGTTTCGAGGGTTTTAGACTTTTATTAGCCTACACAAGTCTTCGGTGTTTACAACACTTTACTGGGCTTTTAAGCCTACTATTGTCTTATAGTGGACTTTCCGTTGGGCCTTATGATCCGAATTAATTCACAGTTGACAAATGCAAAGTGATGCAGTTATTTTATTGATGGCTCGATCTTGATGTTTGGTCCTACACTCCTACTTCAGAAGCTCTTGTAGCAGCAATCTTCTCATCAGAGAGTGATTGCTTCTCATCAGAGAGTGATTGTTAAACACGCATTAAATAAATAGTACTTTGATAGACTACATCAACTAAACCCAATTTATCTTCTACACTACAGTAGCCCACTTCTCAAGTGATATAGGTGGCCCAAAAGGCCCATTAAGTAAATACCACATCAACTAGTCAGTCACTAGTGTATTCGCCGATTAGGGTTTCATATGTTGCACTATATATAAAGTATCTCCAAATAAAGAGATCTCTACTCTCTCCGTCCTCTGTTCTTCTCTTTGGCCGCCATGGTAAATGCTTTACACTGATCTCGTTACCAAGTTATCACTTCTAACTTGTGCTCATATGCTGATGTTCTTCGCCTTCTTATTGTTTTTTCTCCAGGTGAAGAAGTACTCTCAGGAGCCCGACAATTCCACCAAATGTAAGAACTCTTTCTTCGTCTCTGGTTTTATTTCTCTGAGCTCCTCTGTTATTGGATTCCTGATTGTTGATTGAAATGGTTTCGATTTGTTTGCGTTTGCAGCTTGCAAGGCAAGAGGAGCCGATCTCAGGGTCCACTTCAAGGTAATTTCCTTGTACTGATTCCGGATCTCGAAAATGAATTAGATTAAGGTTTTTTTTTTCCGGGAGATTAAGCTTGTAGTTAGGAAAAAACCTGATTAACAAAAAGCAGGGTTCTGTTGCATATAACAGACCTCACGTAAATGTCAGGAAAATCGAATTGGTCATCGTGAATGGGTGAGCCAATGTTTCTTCTAATAGCATATGGTTCAGTACATGATGGTACATTATCGATTTAGCTTGTAATCCTTTTTTGAGTATTGTAAAATAGGGCTGATTGTTGCATCATTTCGTGTTTGTTTATTTCTTCTGGAGTGGAGTCTTATACAGTGCTTTATTGATTATGGTGAATCTAAATAGTTTCTTTTTGAATTTAATTTGTCTGAACAGAACACTAGGGAAACAGCGCACGCCATAAGGAAGCTACCATTGAACAAGGCCAAAAGGTACTTGGAAGATGTCATAGCTCACAAGCAAGCTATCCCCTTCACCCGTTTCTGTCGTGGTGTTGGTCGTACTGCTCAGGCAAAGAACAGGCATTCTAACAGTCAGGGTCGTTGGCCTGCTAAATCTGCTCAGTTCGTTCTTGATCTTCTCAAGAATGCTGAGAGCAATGCTGAGGTGGGTTTTTGTCTTTTATGTTTATATTCTCAGTGGTTCTGGTTACCTACTAAACACTTTTTAAAACCATTTGATTATCAGGTCAAAGGTTTGGATGTTGATGCCCTTTTCATTTCTCACATCCAAGTGAACCAAGCAGCAAAACAGAGGAGAAGGACATATCGGGCTCATGGAAGAATCAATCGTATGTTTTCTTTTCTATTTGACTCTTTTTACAAGTTATTGCTTCTTCATTCGCATTGTGCTGACTCTTAATTTAATGCTATCTTTTGCAGCTTACATGTCAAACCCATGCCACATTGAGTTGATTTTGTCAGAGAAGGAAGAGCCTGTGAAGAAAGAGGTAATTTATTGATCTCAAATACTGATATTCTTTCTTTGCCTTCATCGTTGATCTGATATAATATCTGTTGGTTTTTTGCAGCCGGAGACACAGTTGGCAGCAAAGTCAAAGAAAGGAGCCTCGTCTTGAGCTAATATAGACAGTCTTTTTGTTGTGCTCACTTGTGTTGCCCCCTCAATACATTTTGTTAGCTTCTCTTTCCTATAAGACCAAGACCCAATTTTTAAGTATGATGATTATCGGTTTTTGGATTGCTGGAAGAACCTCTCTCTCTTTTATCCTATGGTATGTATTGGTTAACCCATACCAAATCATGAAATAAATTGAGAGAGTGATTGAACCATTACTCAGTTTGATCAAAGCTTATGAATATATGAAGAATACTAGTACAAAAGTACAAAGTCTGTCAAACGTATTAGTTAGTTGAAAATGGTAAGTAAGTCTATCATCTTTGGTCTGTCTTATAGAACTCAAAGAGGCCCAATTAACGGCCCTAAAGAAGGAAGGAATTCATTACAAACAAAAATGGTGAAGCTGCAAATTTCAAAGAATCAGAAATGGAGAGTGGTCTGATATCAGTGGATCGATGGAGAAAGGGAAGTCAAGCCTACTTCTTGACTCATATGCAATCCGATCACACGCGTGGCCTCTCCGGCGGATGGTCCAAAGGTCCTCTCTACTGTTCCCGCATCACCGCCTCTCTATTTCCCTCCCGATTCCCAGGCTTCGACCTCTCCTTGCTTCGCGTCGTCCCTCTCTATTCCTGGACATCTCTCTCCCTCCGTTCTCCTTCCTCCGGCTCCACCGTCCGCCTCCATTTCATGGCCATCGATGCTCACCACTGTCCTGGTATGATACTCTATATAAGGTTTTGCTTTCTCGGTGGTGAAATTTGAATTTGATGGTATAAATCTGGTAGGCTCCATGATGTTTTTGTTCCGGGGTGATTTCGGATGTTTTCTCTACACTGGAGACTTCCGGTGGGATGCTGATGCATCAGACGAAGCCAGAACCATTCTCGTCGATGCTATTCACGAATTTCCCGTCGACATTCTTTATTTGGATAACACTTATTGCAATCCAATTTACAGTTTTCCTTCCCGTCAAGTCGCTGCTCAATTGGTTCGTCCTAAACCCTAATCCAAATAACCTTAAACCCTGAATCATGTTTCTCTTTATATCCCTCCTCTCCTTTCCTTGCAGGTTGCTGATATAATTGCTTCTCATCCTTCACATGATATCATCATAGCAGTTGACTCTTTGGGGAAGGAAGAACTACTTCTTCATGTTTCCCGCGTTCTCAATATCAAGGTTTTTTTTTATAGAAATGCTCTGCTTTCTTTATCATTCTACAAATGGATTCAAGAGTTGAGTTTCCTTTTTATTTGTCCTGAAGATTTGGGTTTGGCCAGAGCGTCTTCGTACTATGCATCTCCTTGGTTTCCAAGACGTTTTCACTACTGATACATCTCTTACAAGAGTGCGGGCTGTCCCTCGTTATAGTTTTAGTATTCAGACTCTCGAGGGGCTGAATACGATGTGCCCAACTATCGGCATTATGCCGTCTGGTCTCCCATGGGTGAAAACACCTTTCAAGGGAGATGACAAGCTCTCTGGTTCTTTTCTTACTGCAAGTATGAAGAATGAAACCATTTCTGCTCAGAAAGAATTAGAAGCGGCTGCAGTGCATAAGTTCCATGACTATATGTACTCGGTGCACTACTCTGATCATTCATGCTATGAGGAGATTGGAGAGTTCATTAAACTTGTGAAGCCAAAGAGCATGAAAGGAATTGTGGTGTCATCATCATCGTATGTTGACCCTCTTTACTACTTTGGCCGTATCTGTGGAGCCAACCAACCGCCACAAGTTCTGCTAATGAGGCCTGACATCGCAGATGAATTTCAAGCTGTTAGGATCAAGTCATATTCTGCAACTGACAAGACTAGAGTGTTGGAAAAAGAAAAAAGGTGGAAGCGAGATAGTCATTCAAGTTTGAAGAGAAACAAGAAGAGAGCACGTATACAAGTAAAGTGCGCAAAAATTTTAGAGGTTGATTAGCTCTACTTGCCTCTGGGTGGTGTCTCACAATGATGTGGCGGCTTCTTTTTCCTCAAGGTTACAATGTTGTCTATGTGAATGGTCTAATACACAATCCTTTTCTCTGGGGAAGAGTAAGTAAAATTTAAGAAAATATATGAATTAATCAGTTGAATAGAAAGTCTCTATCTTTTTAAAAAGTAAGCAGTTGTTTGTATATGCTTAGTTGACAAAATCCTGATTTTAAATTCGAAAACACTTGGTCAATGTTTTTGTCTTTTGTATGTTATCCAAATGATTACTCAAACCATTTTTTTATAGCAATTTTTGCACATTATTAAATGTTGCAATGAGTGATTAAGGGAATGAGTAAGTAACATCGTGATGATGGTGGTCGAGGAGTCGTTGTATCCGATCATACCTGGCTTGACGGATGACGTGGCGGAGCTCTGTGTCTCGAAAATCCCGCGGTCTAGCTTTCAGATCACTTCTCAGGTGTGCCGGCGATGGAGGTCATTCCTCAGGAGCCAGCATTTTGCAGCCGTTCGAAAGTTGACCGGAACGGTGGAGGAGTTCCTGTGTGTTCTGATGGAAAGCGAGTGTGGAAGAGACGTGTACTGGGAAGTTTTCGACGCCTCCGGGAACAAGTTAGGCCAGATCCCTCCTGTCCCTGGGCCCTTGAAGCGCGGTTTCGGCGTTGCAGTGCTTGATGGCGGGAAGATTGTGTTCTTTGGAGGATATACGGAGGTTGAAGGCTCTGGGATCAATAGCACCACTGTCTCTGCCTCTGCTGATGTTTACGAGTTTGATCCTGCTTCTAACAGGTCTCAGTCTCAATCTACCTTTCATTAATTCTCATACAATCTGATCAAATGTGGCATTCCATGATGATTCTTTTTATTTGAATTTTGAGGAATCGATGAATGAATGAATGAATGAGTGAAGATTCTTTTTGATTGTTAGACAAAGCAATTCAAGAATGAAATTCTTATTCAGTTTGGGAATTTATAACTAAGAAAAGTTCTAAGCTTCTCTTAAACCTTAATTGGTATTAGAACGGTCCAGTCTGGTTTTATTCTGATACCATTTCGGAATTTTTGCAGCTGGAGAAAACTAGCGGCCATGAACATACCACGTTACAACTTTGCATTTACTGAAGTGAACGGTCTTTTGTATGTGATTCGAGGCTATTCCACAGATACTTATAGCCTTTCGAACGCGGAAGTGTACAACCCGCATACTAACAGATGGAGTCTTATGGATTGTCCAAACCGCCCTGTTTGGCGCGGCTTTGCATTCGCCTTCAATTACAAACTCTACGCTGTAGGTAGGAGACAATGGACGTCTATTAGATTCCAAGGTACATTGGGTTAAACTAAGTTTGATGATATCTTTCAGGCAATGGATCGAGGTTCATCGATATATATGACCCGAAAACGCAGACATGGGAAGCGTTAAACTCGGAGCAATCAGTGTCGGTGTATTCCTACACGGTTGTGAGGAATAAAGTGTTTTTTATGGACAGGAACATGCCGGGACGTCTGGGAGTGTTTGATCCAGAGGAGAATTCGTGGAGTTCGGTGTTTGTGCCTCCGAGGGAGGGAGGTTTCTGGGTGAGACTAGGAGTATGGAACAATAAGGTTCTACTGTTTTCACGTGTTTGTGGACATGAGGCCTTAATGTACGACCTTGATAAAGAGAAAGGTTCCAAATGGAGAGTGTGTGATCAGATTAAACCATCTGCTTCTCAATTGGCCAGCGTTCTTATCAACTTCTAATATTCTCTTTAACTTCATTCTTCTGACGTTTTGGAGCTGTGAGTTTTGTGTGTTTGGCCAAAATGTCCCCAATTTCTCAACTTTGTAAATGATTCTTGTATTTGCTGTGCATCGCTAATTTCTGTGTATATATGTTTTTACCATTATTTTGCATCGCTTTACTTTTGGAAGATAAGTTTTTTACTATTTACACTAGATGAATACCCACGCTATGCGTGGGTTTGTTTTGAAATTTTTTTAAAACAATTATGTTGATTGTTCTTGTTGCTAATTTATGTTTATTTTTTAATTTGTCATTGTGTAATTAATAAAATTAAATTCATATTATGTAGTTACAATTTTTATGATTAGATTTATTTTTGACTTAAAATATTAATTTATACATTTTCATGTATAAATCTGACTATTTATATATTTAAGATAATAATATTTTTTCACCATCATGAATACATACAACATCAATATAGGATATTTTTATACAATCATATGTAATTATGTCATTTGTGTGGTTTGAAACTCACTTAACTTGATTATAAATATAATTTCTTGTTCTGTTAACTCTCCTGATCTAGTACGCCAACCACATCGTGATAGACTCATTATTAAATACTAGATGGTGTACCCGCGCAACGCGCGGAATTTAATTTTAAACTTTTATACTTTGAGTATAAATATAATCAATTGAATTTTAAAAGATTTTACTTTACCCATATGAATTATCTTTCCAAAGTAGTAAAAGGTTTCTCACATTTTTCACTACAATATTTCTCGTTATCTTCTATGATTCACTCGTCGTCTCTCAACATCTATTCTCTTTTCTCCTTAGATCATTTCTATTTTCTCCTTCATATCATTCAATACTCAATTTTTTTTTTTAAGTTTCATGATCTTTTTATTAAAGTGAACATCAAAACAGAAATCTGAGGAAATGTTTATCATAAAGCTTTTTTTTTACCATGTTTTGGTGCATCTAAAATTGCTTTATAGAAAATAGATCTCATATATAGACTCATCCCTATTCATAAACATAGGATTTCAACGTGAAATTTTGTATTTTATCTTGACCATTTAAAAAATACAAAAATCTCTTTCTACATATATAATTTAATGTATATTATGATTCTAGAAAGTATTCTTAATGTTGATTTTTCTAAAATGTGACACTTACGAACTCATAAAAATTATTCTAATTTTAAAATACATTTATTTTTATAAAAAAAACAAAATCCTTTTTATTTCTAATGAAAAACTCTTCTATCTACCATTACTATTCTAATTTCCAAATAGCATTCTCAAATATTATTATTACACAGTTTTAATATTCGATAAGATTATTTTATTTTTATTTGTGATGTTTAGGATAGTTTTTTGTTTTATTGCAAATCACCTTAGTTTTTTTCAATCTATGTTAATTTTCTAAACACTAATTAATATTTAGTTTTTCTTTTTTAGGTATTCA